CTTTCTTGCTATTATTTTTAACATATTTATAATGTACTGTGTGATTTTATTTGTTCTTTGGTGTGTTCTCCCTCTCCCCCCATGGTATAACCCCTGTTGTCACCGTATTTGATTCTGGTGCCCTGCATCTTGTGTATACATTTTTCTAATTTGGGGAGGGGAAGGGAAAGAACAAATGTTTAAATAGGGATACAGATTAATCCATTATAACAATGATATGTACAAGACACTATGTTGAAAATGAACTTTACAACTTCAGGTGCGGTGGGGGGGGGCGGTTTGGGGAGGTGGAGAGGGAAAGGAAGGTAGGGGATAAGCAAAGGAGGGGCTAACAATGCTCAACAGGAAATGTACTCATTATCTTATTCATGTAACTGTAACCGCTCTGTACAGTATCATTACAATAAGATATATATAAAAAATAAAAATTAAAAAAGTTTAGATAGAACTAAGCAAAAATTTAACTCTAAGATTGGGAGCACATACAATTAAAATAAATTACATTGCTCCTGCTATTAAAAAAGATATTATAATGATTACCATTACTATATTTTATCCTCATAAAATTTAATGTAAATTTAATTTAATTTTTGTTTAATTATCACTTCTATACTATTGCCTAATTTTATAATACTAAACTTATTGTTGGGAGCGTATTCAAAACATAGGTAAAAATAAAAACATAATTTAGAGCGATATTGTGTACCTAGATTGTGGACAAGACAGCAGAGCAGAAGAAAACAACAAAAACAAGAAACACATGTCATATAGCTAAGGTACAGTGAATATCATTGTAGTGAGTCAGTGAGCAAAGAATATTCAGAGTCGTGGTTACTCCAGGTATCTGCTGAAGCATGAGTGAATGTAAACAACATCTCATGATTACAATCAGAAATAGCTCTCAAGAAGCTCCTCTCAGCAAGTATACACATATCTGTGTTATGCACTACTGTCTACCTGTGAAAACAATGCAAAGTTTTATCTTTCGCTATAGAAACAATATGCCACATTATTTTCATGACTTAATATAGAACAAACAAAATAAACATAGCATCTTCTAAGATGTTCATGAAATTGCCTGGGAATTTAGCTATTTTAGAAATATAGTCTAGAAATAGCTCATTTCAATCTGATGTGCCAAAATTTGAGTGATTTTCTTGAACATATGTTTTATAATTTTGGGAGGAAATAGTATGGAAGTAGTAGCTTGTGGAAGATGTATTCATTATATACAGTAGGAAAAACAAGTCAATCTTAGGCGTCAGAATTAAAAATTCATTGTTTCTAGTACCGAAGGAAAGATCTATTTGTTTTAGCACTTAATTTATTTTTAAAAATAAATTCAGAGTCAGATGCTGGTGGCTCACGCCTGTAATCCTAGATAATCAAGAGGCTGAGATCTGAAGATCGTGGCTCAAAGCTAGTCAGGGCAGGAAAGTCCATGAAATTTATGTCCAATTAAACACTGAAAATTCAGAAGTAGAGCTGTGGTTCAAGTGGTAGAGCACTAATCTTGACCAAAAAAGCTCAGGGACACCATCTAGTTCAACCACCAGGATGAGCACTAACACAAAAAATTAAATTAAAAATAAAACAAATAAATTTTCAGCATTTAGTCAAGATCTTAAAACATGTAGAACTGGAAAAGGCTCACATATGGCTTCTGTATGGCATTATCTCCCATTATCTGGCACCCAGGATACCAACACATTTCTTCCTTTGTTTCTCTTTGGTAATTTTTTAGTTCATCAATCACATTAAGCTAGAAGTACTTTCTCTGGACAAACACTCTTAATCCAAACTTCAGTTACTCAGAGATTGTTTTCATCATGATTAAATGAGTTAATACATGAAAAATACATAAAATAGTTGTAAGCTAAAACATTGTCAATAATTGTGATCTATCATTTATTTATTTTTATTTTTAAATTTTTATTTGGAAAAATCTTTACCAATAGAAATTACTGTGCATATACTGTGAAAAAGAAGGTCAGAGCTTTGTCCTGCACCTGTCAGAGTATTTCATGTCCTCTACCTGTGTATAGAACTTATTGGATTGTACTTAAATACCAACATCAGATTGTGTTATTGTAATAGATATAAATTAAAATGGCCTCGTTTCTCTAAAGTATAACCAACATATTTTATTAAATATGATGCTCAGTTGGAAAATGCAAATGATATTTCTTTGTTTAAGGAGTGCTTTAGCCAGATCTTGGTGGCTCACATCTGTAACTGTAGCTTCTCAGGAGGCTGAGATCTAAGGATTATGGTTCAGAGCCAGGCTGGGCAGGAAAATCTGTGGGACTCTCATCTCCAGTTTACCACCTAAAAAACAGAAGTGGACCTGTGTCTCAAAATAGTAGAGCGAAAATGCCCAGGGATAGCACCTAGGTGCGAAGTTCAAGCCCCATGACTGACAAAGATAAAAGATGGCTCTCTATGAAATTATTTGTTATAATTCCTACAGTAAAATTATACTGAATCTGCTGGGTTCTTTGTGGAAAGCATTGCTTACTCAGTATAGAATACATTCTGAATAGTAGTATTATATTACTGTAATTATAAATTAGCAGTGTTATAATGGGATAAAAATTCTTTCTTTAAATGATACAGAAAGTTTCACATATTTTCTCATGTTTTAACAAAAAGTTAAGGAATTTGTATTATAGAAATTTATGAAATTGGTTACAATGTCTAATATCTTTTAACAGAATTATACTTTAACGTATTGACTGGTGTGTCTGCTGGTTACCAGCAACTGTGCTAAGTGTTGAGATTACAGATAGAAATAAAACACAATTTCATGGGAGCACAAACATATGAAGAAATTACAGCATATTTAATAAGATATATTTTAGGAATGTAGCCAACATTAGTAGAGTTATCTAGAAGAAACCACCCTAATGAGGAGTTTCTGGGAATATATAAATTATGCAAAAAAATGATTCTCGACAAATAAGCATCAAATCAGGGCATAGATTGATTAGGATCAGGGAAGAGAGTTGAAGAGAACTGTCAAAAGCCATAAAAGCAAGGAAACCTTGTGACACTTAGAAGGAATTAGCAAATTGGCCAATGAGGAAGCATTTGAGAACCTGGACAAGTACCTAATTTTGAAATTATGTAAGGATCAACCCTTGGTATCTCCTGCACATCTATTGGAACTTTGAACTTTTCTGAAGGTAAAGAAGACTTTTGAGGGCATGAGCATGTCAGCAAGGTTTTGTTTTCCCATTTGCCTTTTAGAAAATTCTGTGGCAGCAAAGTAAGAGATAGGTTCAAAACCTGATGAGGGGAAGGAAAACCAACTAGAAGGCAACTATACCAAAAAATTTATGAATTATGGTAATAATTGTGAGACTGGAAAGGAGAATTGGGTCTTTCAGATTTTATTTGGAAGATAAAATTGGCAAGATGTAGTGAGTCAAAGCAGTCTAAATGAGAGAAGAATCAGTTGTAATGTCTCAAACTTAGTTTGGTGGTATTGTTCACTGCTATAGTGTTGGGGAAATATTATCATATGTGTTAGTTTTTGCATATAGAGATGTCCAATGCAGTTTTCCATTAGAGGTAATCAGTTAGAAAAAGAGATTTAAATTTCTTTAAATAATCATAGAATGTATACAACAGAGACATGAACTCCTATGATGACTTACTGTGAGCATGCGTATTATGAGCATGTATTTGTCATACAGTATCTAAGTAAGGAAAAACTGAATTACAGGCAACATAAGAAGTTGCCAGAAAAAACGTGGTAATTTTAAAAGGTTCTTCAGCTATAGGAAAGAGGACATGAAATAAAATGTCTTATCCCAGGTGGTTAAGACACCAAGACCTTCATGTAAATATAGGAAATGGCTAAAGGCAGAAACACCAAACTGCCAGTAGTTACCAACTCCCAGATGTGCAGTTAGGTAGATTCTCAAGAGCAGGGAATTCTGATTTGATATTTGAATTTAAATATAAATATATTATATTTTGTGCCTGTATAATTTTGTATTATAGCTCCTATGTATTTAATTTTGTATTATAACTCCTATGAGCTTGTGGTATTAAAGAAGCAAAACTTCAGTGTAAGTTGTAGTCTTGAAGTGTAAGTTACAGTCAATGGTAAATGAAATAAGCTTGATCATCATAGAAGAAAGAGGGAAAGGGCAACATGGAGTGGTCGACAATGTCACATTGCAGGTAGGTTAAAAAAAAAAAAGATAAGGCATGACAGGCACCTTTTAGCTTGATATTTCGATTTGGCCACAAGTGACCTTATTAAAAGTGATTCCAATGAAATACTAAGGGCAGAGGGTTGGCTGCAGATGTTGGAAAGTGGAAAGTGATAACATGAAGAGGAGACATTCCCCATTATAAAGGAGAAAAAGGAGTGCGAGGGAGAAAGATTGCTAGACAAGGATGTAGGGTCCAATGTGAGTAAACTTTTTGCTCAAGGTATTTGTGGTGGGGGAGGAGACCCATGCAAGCTGCCCCCCCCTCACAGTTGATTGTGAGTCACACAGGAACGTCTCAGCCTGCGCAGTTGACCTGTCTACCCCCTAGGCAGTTCAGATCTTAGTTGTTCTAATCTCAGATTTTGTTAAACCAAGATTTACATGTTTTATGACAAAGTAGAGAATTTCATTAGGAAGGTATTCTGGAGGGAAATGAGCAAGACTGATTTTTGTGCACCTGTCAATTACTCTAATGTGAAGAAAACAAATTGAAGTACTTATTAAAGGGACGATACTTTTATAGTGATTTTCTGAACTGCTTTATTTGTACCTGACAAGTACCCTAAAGTACAGAAACTAGTTGAGGTATACTTTTAATTGATAATAAATCCAACTTTTTACAAGACTGAGGTTTCACTTAAAAAAATGTATAACTTGACATATTCCTAAGGCTTTGCTAATTGATGTCTTTAAATATGTAAATGTGCACATTAGAAGAAAGTCAGATGCAATAAATAAGCCAGTAACTTTCTCCTTTTTTTCTTTCTTTTAAAGCCGGACAACAACCTATCCTTACACAGAAACACAGATGTACAGCCAAAACACTGGAGGGAATTACTTTGATACCCAAGGGAGTTCTGCACAGGTGACAACCGTGGTCTCCTCCCACAGTATGGTGGGCACTGGTGGGATTCAGATGGGCGTCACAGGGGGACAACTCATCAGCAGCTCTGGAGGAACTTACCTGATTGGCAATTCCATGGAGAATTCTGGTCATGCAGTGACACACACAACCCGAGCCTCCCCAGCGACAGTAAGTGTTTGAGTTTTTATGGAATTTAGTCATTCATAGTTTCCATAGGTGTCTTTTCCTCTATGGAGGAAAAAGAACTACCAAGAGGAGAGGGACAGCAGTGTCCTTAAGTGATTTTAGTGTGGTGGTAGTATGCAGAATTTAGCCTATATAGACGTAATCTTATTCAGAACTTTACTGATATGTATGCCCTCCAGTTAAGTAAACTGTGAAGTTCTTTATTACCAATGAATGCTATGTTAGAAACAGGTGGTTTTAATTCATTCTATTATTAATTTTAATAGGCTTCAGTGCTATTCATCAAAACACTTCTAATTTTTATAAAATGAACTTACTTTTACATTGCACTTATAATAAAATCTAGTCAGTAAAATGGAGAGGGTAATATTTGCACATATTTTACCCGTAATATTTAATTCGTGTACTGCTGCTTGTGCTACTACGTATTTTTAAACTGACTCACTTTCAAAATAGAAAGTCTGATACATACTGATACTGATACTTAATAAAAATGTTTATCCTTGTGCTGCATATAAAGCCATATTGCCTGCTCTGCCAGAAAGACACATTGGAATTTAAGTGACTCAGATGAAAGAAATTGTAGATTCCATTTGTGGCTATGAGCAAATAATACTTAAGGATATCCCCTTCATTCTTGAGCTCTCAAGATTTTAAAGTTTAACATTTGACACAATATTTAATTTTTATTTTAACACAATATCCTTTCATGTAATGATATAAAAATAATCATAGAAAGGCACACAGACTTCAGTAACATCACTCTGTAACCTGAGCTAGTAAGCTGAATCAAGTAGATGCACTGTCCTCTCACTATCTCTCTCTGTACTTTGTGGTTTAAATGAAATAAGGCAGAAGGAAATGTGAAAAAGAATGGGAATAAATTTGGAGAAAATAATAAGTGAGAGATTTTTCTCTCTCATTTAATGGATTTTCTTCAAGATGTAATGTGTATTTGGTAAGTACTTAGCTAGCATGTATTTCGTGTGTCTTGTGATTATATTCATTAATATTTTCACCATTTGTTACATTTTCCTCATATCCAATATTTAAAGCCCTCATTTTTAATTTACTCGTTGCTAACATTGGAAACAATGACTAGCTGTTCAGAGTAGAAAATTCTTAGAAGTTCTTTTTCTCTTTCTTTCTTTGCTGGTCTCCAGTGGCTCAAGTCTATAATCCTAGCTACTCAGGAGACTGAGATCTGAGAGTCACAGTTTGAAGCCTGAGATCTGAGGTCACAACTTGAAGCCAGTCTGTAAGGAAAGTCTGTAAGGAAAGTCTGTAAGACTCTTATCTCCCAGTAACCACCAAAACACCAAAAGTTGAGCTTTGGCTCAAATGGTAGGGTACCAACCTTGAACAAAAAAAAAAATTGACAGTGCCCAGGACTGAGTTCAAGCCATAGTAGTGATACACACTATTTTTCCTTTGTCTTTTTGAAGCATTTCTCTTGTGAATTTGTCTGTTGTTATTCATAGCATTAAATACAATATTTCTAAACCATTCAGTAATACCAGTATTTTTATATAGATTAAAATATAATTTTTATATAGATTAAAGACTAAAGAAAATTGCTGGTAATAAATCCTAGCATATTTGGATCCTAGTTCCCCTATAAAAATGGTGTTCTCTGAGCTTTCAAATCATTTACTAACGAATCATAAAGTATTAACAGATAGAAGAGTAACATTATCTTTACAGGAGGAAAAGACGTTAAAAATTTTAGTACCAGCACCCCAGCAAAGACCACCCAAAAAATTCTTTCCAAGGGAAAGTAAAGTACCTGCTACTTACCAAAGCCTTAGAAGGACAGAAAAGCAGAGTGAATGTGTCTTTTCCTATTTTGTTAGGCCCCTCTTTCATATTGACATACCATACACCATCTTTCTGACCGCACCCTTTCCTACTTCATCTTTCCTAGCCCTTTCTACTTGCCTTCACATGTTTTTAGCTATCCAGACATCCACAGCAACTGGCTTTATGTGTAGTAAACTTATTATTTCTATTACAAAATTAAACTGTATAGATAGAATCATACGAATGTAGTTGTAAATGTTGTCAAGTTCAATTTTATAGGGTTTTGTTGAAGGGATACCTTTTGGTGTTGTACATTGAGTATGAAAAGTATCATGATTGGTACAGAATTAGATTGTAGAAACTGGAAATAATTGAAAACTGTAAATACCAACTGTACATACTAATTTACTTTTAAGATACTCATATTTCAGGATTTTTATTAACTGCAAAGCTTGAAGTTATTTCGGCTAGGATTATTTTATTATATGAAAGAATATTTTTGAGGTGTGGGGGTTTGGAGGAATGGTTCAAATGGTAAGAAACCTGCCTACCAGATATGAGATCGGTCCTTGGTACTATCAAAAATATTTGAAGAAAAATATTTACTTCATAAAATTAGCCTCTATTAGAGAGAATGAATTCTTCCTTTTAAACAAAAGTAGTATAAACATTGAATAGAGAGATAATTTTTGTGACCTTATCAACACACACACACACACACACACACACACACACACACATACATACATATATGCTAATATTTAGTGTATTGCCTTGCATTTATTATTAAACCATATATTTGATTTGGTTCTTTCTCTCAGTTGTGCAGATTTTTCCTTGTCTTGATTTCACAGTGAGATTTTTCTTTGTTTACAGTTTCATGTTGCTATAGTCAAGTTAACAAAATTTAAATATGATGCTATTTAAAGTCTACCATTAGCAAATGTCAGAAATCTGACAGATATATGGTTCCAGGGTCACTAGAGGGGAAATTTCATGATTTCATTTGTATTTCCATTTCTATCCAAACATTCGAAAGGATTTCTATGAACACTGTCTTGTTTATCACATCTGAAGTTACTTCTTCCCACACACTGAGCCAAACTATACTGTATAAGTTTAGTTTCTTTAGCTAGTATTACTGTGAACTAAAGCATAGCTGAGTCAAATAACTATTAGGATTAGTTTGCATTGTGGCCCAAATTTCTGACTAGAAAAACCTACAATTAACTCTAGATTCACAAGTTTTGGCCCCATGGATACAACTAACCTCATAGAGCTAGAAAGTACATTTATATGAAACATGTACATACTTTTCTTTTTATCACTAATTCTTAAGTGGTAGAGCACAAAAACCTACCCTATTTCATAGCATTTACATTGTATTAAGTGTTGTAAATAATCTAGAGATGATTGAAAATATACAGAAGTATGTTCATAGGTTATATACAACTACTAGGTAGTTTTACATAAGGGCCTGAGTATGCATGGTTACTGGTATACCAGGGGATAGCAAGAAATAAGGTTAGGCAATTGAGCTATGCATTAAAAGGGTAAAAGTAAAGGTTGAATGTATAGTCGGTTAATTCACTTGATATTAAAGTAAGTTTGAGTACTTTGGGAATAGTATCTGAACACCTTTACTTTATTCCTTGTGAGAACAGTTTACTACTTTGGTCCTCAGAATACCCTCACTGACTTCCTTTTAAGTTTTTCCTATATTTATATGGAAACATTTTCATTCAGATAATTTAGTAATAATTTCCTCATGCTAAGAAAAGTTTACCTTAATAGATAAGTGTTTCTCCAGTGTGCCAATGAAGAAAGTTGATTATTTGAAATTAAAGCCACAACTAAGAAAAACAAGACTAGCCCATAGAGTATTTTACCAGGCTAATAGTAAATACGTAAAGTATAACCATCTCTGCTGTGAAAAAAGTAGCTCTGAATTATTAATGGGATTTTTGTTTGAAGATATAATTTATTTTAGCTTTTACATTTACATATTATTATTTCATTTGTGGCTTGGTATCCAAAATTTTTATTATAAAGTTACATGAAAATGTCAATATTTTTCAAAAGATTGTAATGGTAATAAATTTTACATGATTAATGTATTAAACTATCAACAATATTTTAAGATCTGCCTAAAATATTTCTCCTTTTTCTTTTTATGTTCTTATATTTAGTTAATAAGAGCCCATGTCTTTATAATATAAATATATATGTATATAAATATATGTTCATTTATATATACACTTTTTACTCAAATACACACACACATACAGGTTCAAAGCATTTCCTACTCATAATACAAAATAAGAATTTTAAGAAAAATTTTACAATGTTTTATTACTTTGGATGTGAGCTCAGCTAAGTTATAACTTGAATTAATGGTTGAGATTTTACATAATAGCTATTAAGTTCTACCATAGGACTTCACTAGCACATGGACAGGGTGGTAAAGAGTTGGCTAGTCAAACCTCTGAATTGATGATGCATCTTCCTTTTAACTCTATCATTGTAATGTTTCCCTCTGTGTACACTTATTTAAACCTCAAATGTACTTCACCTGATCATTTTCTGTGTAATCATATCATTAATAGAATTTTGAACCTGAACATAATTTAGACTTCAATCAAAATTAATGAATTAGTCTGTGATATTTTATGCACATCATAATGTAGTGTATCTTGCAATATGATACCCACTAATTAGCAATATCCTATAAGAAACTTTAACCTTCCATTAAATAGTATTTGTTTTCTTATAATCAGACAGCTACTCATGGATTTTTTTCTTCTTTATAACTAAATAAGATCATTTTAACCATTTTTCGGATTTGTTATGAAAGCTAATTTTTAACATCAATATGTACATACACTTAGTAATTATACATTATAAAAGGGCATTTTTAAAAATTAGTTACCACTAAGGAATACAAGTAAAATGTGTTGAAAATAATGTCATTTATCCTGCTGTTGGTTCATGTAAAATGTTATAATTTATTTAACTGAGAATAAAATTTCCACATCCATCTGCTGCTAGATAAATAAAATTTAACTAATTTTATGTAATTTATAGAAAGATAAGGATTTATGTAAAAATTGTAAGTGCTCTTGACTTGCATGTTTATGAATTTAAAGTAAAGGAATAATTTTTTTTTTCTAAAAAGATAGATC